GCAGCATCTAGTGTGGTGGCTGTGTGAAGCATCTAGTGTGGTTGCTGTTTGAAACACCTAGTGTGGTGGCTGCTTGAAACATCTAGTGTACTGGCTGTGGGAAACATCTAGTGTGGTGGCTGTGTGAAACATCTAGTGTGGTGGCTGTGTAATGCATCTAGTGTGGTGGCTGTGTGCAGCATCTAGTGTGGTGGCTGTGTGAAGCATCTAGTGTGGTTGCTGTTTGAAACACCTAGTGTTGTGGCTGCTTGAAACATCTAGTGTACTGGCTGTGGGAAACATCTAGTGTGGTGGCTGTGTGAAACATCTAGTGCGGTGGCTGTGTGAAGCATCTAGTGCGGTGGCTGTGTGAAGCACCCAGTGTGGTGGCTGTGTGAAACACCTAGTGTGGTGGCTGTGTGAAACATCTTGTGTGGTGGCTGTGTGAAACATCTAGTGCGGTGGCTGTGTGAAGCATCTAGTGTGGTGGCTGTGTGAAGTATCTAGTGTGGTGGCTGTGTGAAACATCTAGTGTGGTGGCTGTGTGAAACACCTAGTGTGGTGGCTGTGTGAAGCATCTAGTGTGGTTGCTGTGTGAAACACCTAGTGTGGTGGCTGTGTGAAGCACCTAGTGTGGTGGCTGTGTAATGCATCTAGTGTGGTGGCTGTGTGCAGCATCTAGTGTGGTGGCTGTGTGAAGCATCTAGTGTGGTTGCTGTTTGAAACACCTAGTGTGGTGGCTGCTTGAAACATCTAGTGTACTGGCTGTGGGAAACATCTAGTGTGGTGGCTGTGTGAAACATCTAGTGCGGTGGCTGTGTGAAACATCTAGTGCGGTGGCTGTGTGAAGCATCTAGTGCGGTGGCTGTGTGAAGCACCCAGTGTGGTGGCTGTGTGAAACACCTAGTGTGGTGGCTGTGTGAAACATCTTGTGTGGTGGCTGTGTGAAACATCTAGTGCGGTGGCTGTGTGAAGCATCTAGTGTGGTGGCTGTGTGAAGTATCTAGTGTGGTGGCTGTGTGAAACATCTAGTGTGGTGGCTGTGTGAAACACCTAGTGTGGTGGCTGTGTGAAGCATCTAGTGTGGTTGCTGTGTGAAACACCTAGTGTGGTGGCTGTGTGAAGCACCTAGTGTGGTGGCTGTGTAATGCATCTAGTGTGGTGGCTGTGTGCAGCATCTAGTGTGGTGGCTGTGTGAAGCATCTAGTGTGGTTGCTGTTTGAAACACCTAGTGTGGTGGCTGCTTGAAACATCTAGTGTACTGGCTGTGGGAAACATCTAGTGTGGTGGCTGTGTGAAACATCTAGTGTGGTGGCTGTGTAATGCATCTAGTGTGGTGGCTGTGTGCAGCATCTAGTGTGGTGGCTGTGTGAAGCATCTAGTGTGGTTGCTGTTTGAAACACCTAGTGTTGTGGCTGCTTGAAACATCTAGTGTACTGGCTGTGGGAAACATCTAGTGTGGTGGCTGTGTGAAACATCTAGTGCGGTGGCTGTGTGAAGCATCTAGTGCGGTGGCTGTGTGAAGCACCCAGTGTGGTGGCTGTGTGAAACACCTAGTGTGGTGGCTGTGTGAAACATCTTGTGTGGTGGCTGTGTGAAACATCTAGTGCGGTGGCTGTGTGAAGCATCTAGTGTGGTGGCTGTGTGAAGTATCTAGTGTGGTGGCTGTGTGAAACATCTAGTGTGGTGGCTGTGTGAAACACCTAGTGTGGTGGCTGTGTGAAGCATCTAGTGTGGTTGCTGTGTGAAACACCTAGTGTGGTGGCTGTGTGAAGCACCTAGTGTGGTGGCTGTGTAATGCATCTAGTGTGGTGGCTGTGTGCAGCATCTAGTGTGGTGGCTGTGTGAAGCATCTAGTGTGGTTGCTGTTTGAAACACCTAGTGTGGTGGCTGCTTGAAACATCTAGTGTACTGGCTGTGGGAAACATCTAGTGTGGTGGCTGTGTGAAACATCTAGTGCGGTGGCTGTGTGAAGCATCTAGTGCGGTGGCTGTGTGAAGCACCCAGTGTGGTGGCTGTGTGAAACACCTAGTGTGGTGGCTGTGTGAAACATCTTGTGTGGTGGCTGTGTGAAACATCTAGTGCGGTGGCTGTGTGAAGCATCTAGTGTGGTGGCTGTGTGAAGTATCTAGTGTGGTTGCTGTGTAAAGCATCTAGTGTGGTGGCTGTTTGAAACACCTAGTGTGGTGGCTGTGTGAAACATCTAGTGTGGTGGCTGTGTGAAACACCTAGTGTGGTGGCTGTGTAATGCATCTAGTGTGGTGGCTGTGTGCAGCATCTAGTGTGGTGGCTGTGTGAAGCATCTAGTGTGGTTGGTTTGAAACACCTAGTGTGATGGCTGTGTGAAACACCTAGTGTGGTGGCTGTGTAATGCATCTAGTGTGGTGGCTGTGTGCAGCATCTAGTGTGGTGGCTGTGTGAAGCATCTAGTGTGGTTGCTGTTTGAAACACCTAGTGTGGTAGCTGTGTGAAACATCTAGTGTGGTGGCTGTGTGAAACACCTAGTGCGGTGGCTGTGTGAAGCATCCAGTGTGGTGGCTGTGTGAAACATCTAGTGTGGTGGCTGTGTGAAACACCTAGTGTGGTGGCAGTGTGAAGCATCTAGTGTGGTGGCTGTTTGAAACATCTAGTGTGGTGGCTGTGTGAAGCATCTAGTGTGGTGGCTGTGTGAAACATCTAGTGTGGTGGCTGTGTGAAACATCTAGTGTGGTGGCTGTGTGAAACATCTAGTGTGGTAGCTGTGTGAAGCATCTAGTGTGGTGGCTGTGTGAAAGATCTAGTGTAGTGGCCGTGTGAAGCATGAAGTGTGGTGGCTGTGTGAAGCATCTAGTGTGATAGCTTAGAAACTTGTATGTTTATATAATGTTTTTTTTTCTCTTTAAACAAGGAATTCAACAACTTGTCATGAATGAGTTTATAATTTAGAGTTTTAGTTCATCAGCGCTCAATCTGGTGTATCATAGTGGGAAGTGTGGTCAAGAGGCTAAATACGCTTGAACTTGGCTTGGCCACCTATGAAGGGGGCTTGGGGTTTGACACCCGACTCAAGCAGAGTTGTGTTAACTGAGCGCACTGAAAACCTTCTTCCAGGTAACCCCCTCTACTAGTCCACAAACGAGATTTGACCATAGCGCTCTGAGCATGCTGTAAGCATGCAAGTAACACTATATCATTATCATCGAACTCTTTTTGAGCAAGGGCTTGAGAGGCTCAAATCACTATATAAAAAGCTTTAATAATAATACCTTGAACTGGCAGCCAGCTCAATAATAATGAGCTGATGAAGCATTTGTGTGTGTATTTCCACAAGGTAACAATGAGGAAAGGGAGCATTGGTTTTTGGTGGTGTAGGCTTATGAAACCAGGAGCTGGTCGGTCATAATTTATGTTAATATAAGTCGTGGGGGATTAGTGTGGGAGAACAAATACACAATCGAAAATTGTACTCGATCCGGAAGAAACTAGTGGTGAATCGAATAAATGAGAAATGGACAAGCTCTCATCAGAATCACAAGAAAGACAATGCCATTAATAAAGTATCCTGATATGACCAAAGTCTAATTTTTTGCCTAAGAACTGGGCACAACAGAATGAAGCTGAAAATTGGGAGTAGTGAAATTTGCATTTGTGGAGTGTCACCAGGGCATGCCGACCATAGACTTTAAACTGCCTTCTTCATCAAGAGATCTGAACAAGACACTGGCCTAATAAACCATAGCTCACTTGGTCATGCTTTTATTACAGTGAACTAGGAAAAAAAGAAACCTTCTTCGAGAGATCATGATACTGTAATTGAAACAAAATTGATTTTTAGAAGCTCTTAGCAAGACCCCAAAACCATCAACAAGAATTTATTTTCTTAGCTCTTCTCAATTATGGAAAAAAATATACAAGAGAAGATCACAATAAATTTTGAAATGATGTACATATTTTGAGTCTAGTTTAAAACAAAGAGATATAAATCAACCATTCAAAGATTTCTGGTGTCAAGTTTTACTGAAATGAAGAACGCCACAATATAATTTAAAAATAAACAAAATCTATGTGGTAATTTTTCTTCAGTTTCCTAATTGTAACTTCTTTACACATAGCAGAATGTTGTTTATATGTTTCAACAAAGTCATAGTATAGAAACAGGTTTAACAGATTAACAGCTAGATATTAGAATTTAGGCAATTCAGCTTTTATAAAATCCAATATCCAGCTGATAACAAGAAGTTATTAATGCTCTACATCTTCGAGGATGTAATACCATTAAAGTGATTAGGCCTATACCGTTTTTTTTAAAATAAGTTTATGTCTGTTACTCTGTAGCATGTGTTTTATTATAGATCAATAGATCATTTAGATCTATACTTGAAAATAAATAATAATGCTAAATTTAAAATATATATTGATTTACTAATAAGTTTAAAATTGAATCTTATTAATTTATTTTTAAATAAAAAAGGAAAAAATCTAACCTAAAAAATAAACAAAAGTTTTCTGCTATTTAAACTATCCAAATGTGGGAAGTGGAGGAAGATTTCATTTTATTTTTATCATGATGATACTGTTACAATACTAAGAATACTGTTTGTTTTAATGTGTTATAATATAAAATAATAATATAGATCTAAGATTAGATGTAGTTCTATATCTATGTACTTAAGAATTAAAACTTTATCTTCAGTTCAATATTAAATATTCATTATATTATAATTATAGTACTTAGCTTATTTACTTACTAAATCTATTTATATATCTAGAATCTAGATCTACTAACTAACTACTTACATTTACTTATCAGAACTTCTACTTAATAAACTTGACACGTTTTTTTAGTTAGTCTTAAAGAATAAACTTCAATAAAGTAAAGTCATAAAAGTGGTAAGCTAGAGCCTAATGAATGATAGATGATATCTAGAATATAGATCGATCTATCTAGGTCTAGTAGTACTACTACTGTCTACTAGATCAGTAGATGACGATAATCATATTGATTTAATTGATATTGAATATTCATAATGATAATCATATATTATTATGATATATTAATATTAAATTCAAATTTCAATATCCATGATATTGGTTAGATAATCCAGAATTCTAGATCTAGATTTGTCTTGTAGATGGTAGATCTAGAATTTTCACGAACGAATCTTTTTAATTTGTCAAATTAGTAAATGCAAAATAAACACAAAGTAGATCTAAATAAAATAAATAAGTTGAGACTTGAGAGAATGGCCATGAGAGGATAATAGGAACTTTCATCAAAAAAAAGTTAAATAAAAGGTCAATATTAACAAGGGAGATCAATCTGCTTTCTTAGTAATTTCATCAGCATGTTGCCCGATGCATTTGGAATCTAGATCTAAGTCTTGACTCATAATTCTGAGCCGCCTGAGGACTTATCTTCTACTTTAGACCACATTACTTAAGAAATGTATTCTTACAAATTAAAAAAATTTATATTATTATTATCCTTATCGTCTTTTATATTTGCATTTCTTATTGGTATTTTGGTTCTATCGTTACTTCTAAATGATGGGCCACTGAATATCATCTCCAGTCCTTTAGTTGGAATAAAAATGTGCATATCGGCAGTGCTTGTCAACTGCCTGTTTATGTTTGTGCTGACTGTTATCTGTAGTTCAGAACGTAGCGAGGACAGATCCTTTTTTCAGGTAATTTATAGATTAGTCTTCCCAAGTCAGTGCCTTCCCTGGTAAAACTTCCCATCGAAGGCCCCTAGCCTGCCCTAGGTTTTCCGGTCAATTATTTGGCAACTGTCTATCCGCAATCATGATGACGTACTGAGGTGACCTCACCTGCGCGCGCGCCCGGTCACTGTCCCTCTCTCTCATCTCCTTTAGTAGTTCTTTCTCATTATTTATTTTTTTTAGCCTTTTATACTATTTTATTATTACATAATATAGATCCAGAGTTTTCATATCATTAAAGCATGACTAGATCTATCACGAACAATTACATGATACTACGGACATCGTCTAGCCGGTAGTGACCTTGTGACCTGATTACTGTAGCGATAGACAGCGCGGTGCTGCCACTTGCGTAACATTCTTCAAAAGGGTCCTTCGATGGGAAGTTTTACCGATTTAGCCTTAGCAGAGACAGGACCATAGCAATAGTCATTGATAGTGTATGATTATAATAGTTTGGTAAAGTAGAGCACCACCTACATTAATGCTGATACTTTAAATCACTGATTAACATTATAATTATAACTAGTTACTATATTGACACATGAAGTCATAAATGCATCTAACAGGATCTCTTTTAAAGAACTAAGAAGCATCTGTAATCTTTAACTATAAGATTTAGATTTAGAATTTAGGTAGATCTAGAATAGAAACTAGACAGAGATAGTCGAGGAACATGGTTTTATATATATATATATGTCAGCTGGCTTCATTTTTTTTTATGATAGTGGTAAATAGATATATTGTATGTTGACATGGATGAATCAATTCATGTCACATCCCGTGCTGCCAAACAGCAGGAAGGCCAAATAAAAGCTGACATTGTTATTTTAAAATTATGAAAACAACAACAACAAACCAACAACTATGAGAAGAAAATATGCCAGTGTGAAGGGCTGCAATTGCAAACTCTATAACCTATGTTTATCTCATTTAGGGTGGACCTATTGCATAAACTAAAGTGATTAACAGATTTGTATGGCCAACTATGTATTAGGAGACAGCTCCTCTATCAGTCCCTAAATGTTTGATAAGTAATTTAAGTACAAGGTATTATTTTCTAATTCTCCTTTCTGTACAAAAAATATCTTTAACTCTTCTTTGTTCTTTTCAGCCTTACAGTTTCATAAAGTCTTGTGGTCTGTTGCTGCTTTCTTCAGTTATTTTTCACATCATAAGCATATTGTATGGGGCTCCAGTTTTAATGTAAGTATAAACTTTGTTGGTTAATTGATATAATTAAACCAGTTTATTTCAAATCTTGAAAAAATTAATTATTTTTTATTTATTAACAAATAATAAGTAAAATTGGGTTTATGTAGCTACAGATTTTCTCAAATTCAATGATACTCAAGATGAAATATTTTCAAGTGTACTTTTTGCTAGTTTAGAATACATTTGCCGCCTTTTAAAAAGAATTTTTATCAATACCACAATTAAAAGTACTTAAAGTATATTAAACTAAAATAATGCTTTTAAAATAAAAAATAAATAAATCATCCTTAGATCTGTGGAGGAAACATACACATTTTCGGTTCTGATGTCTGTGCTAGTTATCCTGCCATTGTGTCTTTTCTGTGGTCCTCTCTTTGACAGCTGGTATGATATATTTACATCCAGGTATACATGTTTTGATTCACTTTTTTTACTATTTATGAACTCCTAACAAATTAACCTCTTTTGAAATACTGCACCTTAAATGGCAATGCATTGAAAAGTCATACTTAGTAGTCTTATTCTGGTTGTTATGAAGTGTGTTTTGGCTGGATAGATTATGATGTATTTACGAGTAAGACCATTAGGTTATAAATAGAAGTGAACAGCTTTTTTATAATGATTTATTACACTGGATAATTCTATAAAGTATGGATCATTGCTTTATAGACTTTTTAAGGCATTTTGAATTAAGAGAAAAACAAATGGGAGGGGGGGGGGGGGCAATATTACCTTAATAGTTCAAAAAAGGTTAAAATTATAAATATTATTCTCCTTGCAAAAATGTATTATTGTAAATACAAAACTATGCATAAAAATCTATAATAATAAAGAAGTGTATTATTGTAAATAGAAAACTATGCATAAAAATCTATAATAATAAAGAAGTGTATTATTGTAAATAGAAAACTATGCATAAAAATCTATAATAATAAAGAAGTGTATTATTGTAAATAGAAAACTATGCATAAAAATCTATAATAATAAAGAAGTGCATTATTGTAAATAGAAAACTATGCATAAAAATCTATAATAATAAAGAAGTTAATTAGTCCTTTGTAGTCAGCATTTGGTAAAGTCTAACAAAATACTGTCAGTTTGTACCATTCAATGTTCATAGTTTGCTTGTCACTTGAGACTCAAAAGAACAATAAAGTTATTGCAGTGCATTTTTTCTTCAATGTAATAATGTCAGCGTCTCAGAAATTGCATTAAATTGGGATAATAAAGTGATAATACTATGGTTTGGAAATTTTTGTTTAATGTATTATATGTTTTAATCAAATTTCAGTTCCTACCTAGGCATTGAGACAATTGTGTATTATACCAGCATCATGTCCATTCTTGGCTCCTGGGCTGGGGCAGCAGCTATTCCTCTTGACTGGGACAGACCCTGGCAGGTCAAGTAGAACTTTTTAAAATTTTAATTGAAACCCCAAAAAAAAAAAAAAAAGAATTTTTTGAGAGAATTCACAGGAAGAATTGCTGTAATCAAAAGAAAATAATGGGTTTGAAAGATTGTCCTGTCATTATTTTTGATCCCCTTGTCATAAGACTTAACTTGTTTTTTTTTTTTTTTTTTTTAAGAATTACTTGACCCTATTGAAATGATTGTGTAGTTGGCTGAGACAGAATTTCCTGTTGGTGTAACTTTTATTTCATCCTCAATCTTTTATGCTTGAGACATTTCAAAAAAAGAAAAAACTTAAAATGGACGTGGTCACAGAGTGTTGTAGCAAAACATAAAAATATGCTGGTGAAAACCAAATCAAGATTTTCCCTAAGCAGATTTACATTGGATAAAAATATGATTTGAATACTACAGGTACTAGCATTGTTTATTTTCTTATTTTATATGTGCACACTCCATTTTGAGCTCATCAACCTTTATTTATTTCTAACTATATTGTAGTATTTTCATCAACCTTTATTTATTTGCCAATTAATAATTGTGTGAGGTTTCAACTTGATTTGAGAATGGGTGTGGGAGAAATAACATGTACACAGACAGAGTGAGTTGATATAAGCTTTGTAAAAGTGTTAGACCCACTTAACTGACATTGTACACATTTTTATTTCCAGGCTTGGCCAATAAGTTGTGCTGTTGGTGCTATCTTTGGTTACTGTTTGGGTCTTCTCTTTGGAGCTGTTCAACTACCGAGAGAACTTTTAAATAACAAATGGAAAGTAATTTGAAACTGTAAAAATTAATTTAGAAGATGTTCTCACAATGCAACTGATTTTATATTGATGTTTTACATGAGACCAATGTTAGATTTTATATTAACTTGATGCCTGTATAAAATGATGTATTACACTATTGATGTATTTAGTATGTTATATTAACATCATTCACATATATTGCTTTTTCAGTGTAAATAAAATTGTTATTACAATATATAACCATGTATTACCCATAGATGACATGTTTTCTTTTTTTTTATGAATCTAAAACAAGTAACAATGCATTTACAAAATAAAATTATCGATTTTGTTTATAAATTTTAATGCTGGTTAAACCTAGCTTACTAAAAGAACATTCTAAAGTGATTACAGTAAGAGTTTCAAAATCTGTTTTGAATTTTATACTTTTGTTAACTGAATAGATTCTTACATTAGCAATAGTTAAGATAAAATATATTTTTGTATCAGTAATCTTGAACTATTCTAATCTAAACTAAAACAACTGCACAAACAATATAGATTGAACATGAACTCTTTGCATTGTCAATTAACGTTTGTATTCTTCAATGGATTCAAAAAACTTAGTTAACTTATAGAAAAATATAAAACAAAAATACAAAAAAGTCAAACATGATGTACAAACAGCACAAAAAAAAAAATGTTTAGGAATCACAAAGGTAAGTGCACAGACACAGAATGAGTCCCTAGAACATCTGTAAAATTTGTTGCAAATAAAGCTTCTGAATTATAAGGTTGACTGAATGATGATTAACTTTTTTTTTCATCTTGAAAAAATTCAGATTAATTATAATGACCAGATTATACTAAGCTGGAAATGGAAAAACAGAAAATGACCATCATGCTCACAGCTAGGTTTATTGACTAGACTTAGACAAATCAGCCAGTGCGTTTATGAAAAGTAAGATGGGATGAAGTTAATCTTAAAGTTACTATGCCTATGTTTTTAATAGCTTGGAGGAAATGAACTTGCGGGTGATACCTAACAGAACAAAAATGAACGTAAGGCCTTATACTTCAGTACCACAACTGGCAACTCATTTGTAACATTGAAAACAAGAGTTTATAACTGCAAAAAAGAACATAAAGCATTCATCTAGTCACAAGATTGTCAATGCAAATTATTTAAACAAAACATGTAAACAAAATAAATGCAATTTGAGATTTATACAAGTTACCTTAAATATACATGAAACATTAGAAGTTGAACCGGGCTTTATGAATGAAATTCAAATACACATAACTTTGTAGTTCTATAAATTAATGAAATCACAGACTTTTTATTGAAAAAAAAAAAAATACAACATAATACATAAAAAATTGTACTAAAAATAAATGTAAAAAAAAATGATTTTGATTGGGCATGTTCTAAAAAATAATAGCAATATTTTTTCACTTAAAAATTACTTTTGTCTTATAATGATGTTTTAAACAATGCTAATGAAAAAAAGTCCTAGATGAATGATTCAAAAAACACCAGCAAACTAACAGGTGTTTGTGGTACATAATCGAAAGAAAAATAAAGATTAATCTATATGACAATAATTTACCAAACATTGAAACATATTCCATCCCTATGTTGGAGTTCATCAATAATTAAACAAAAGAAACAATGCTTTGTCAAGTTTCTCACAATATTAATTAAGTATGATAAAAGATTAATGCTGAATGCTTCTCTGTCTTAGTTCATTCACAACCTCTGTGTCAGTATTCTCCACAGCAAAATCAAAATCCAATGGTTCTTGTATCAATGGCAGAGTATCATCCTCTGCATTGATCTCTATCTTGCTGGTTTGTGAAATATCTACAGAACAATACACACAAATAAACAAAAACAGATCAGTAATAATTATAATCATTCACTTTTCTTTAACATAAAAAAAAAACCTGTCAACTTTTCAATTCCAAAGATTTATAACTAGAGGCAGTTAGTCCTTAAGGGAGGAGTGGCACATATATCTGATGTGACATGGTGTAGACATAAAGGTTGCCAGAGAAATTTCAACATGTTTTTTTACACATCAGCTTCTAATAGCTTTGAGTTTCTACCTAAATTGGTAAATTATGAAGAGGAGGTAAATAGAAATATCATTAAATATTTCTTTTTTACTACAAACTTTGACAACATGAACTAGGACATACAAGCTCGTTTCAGGGGTCTAATCAGTTCATCGAATCTATATAAGTTTGATAAGTGTACTACTTTGATTTTATTATTGAATTTAATTTCTCCTGTGTGTTATTACAAGAAGTACAGTGTGTTTTCTCTCCTTTTAAGATTTCAACTAGGAAAATTCAAAGTGGTGTGTTGGTACTTCACTACTAAACATGAGGTTTCCCTATTGGATTGTCTCCTGTCCAAATTATCTACCATAAGATATTTCTCTATATTATACTTTTATACTTTTACTTTATATACTTTAAGAAATATCAAGTAAACATTAAGTTTTGAAATAATGCTATCTTTAACATATAAAGCTCACTTTAGATACATGAAGGAGAAATGGATAAGGATATTTGAAAGAATAAGAATTACTTTTATCCTCAGTCATTGTTGAGGAGGAGGCAAATGTTTTCTGATCATTTTTCACGGTCACTTCCGCTTTTTCTGTTATTTGCACTGCCGCTGTTATTTTCTGTAAAGTTTCTGTTCTCTGATAAGCTGCGACAGCCAAACCCAAGGCCAGAATCAATACATTGACACTAAAGGCACATAAACCACTCAAAACTGGCCAGTGGTAAAGAAGATATCTGTGAAATGAAATAAATGGCACCTCTTTACTTTAGCATATAAATTATAACACTCTCTGTAATTACAGGCTTATTAAATGCATGACAATCATATAGTTACAAAAATTATTAAATAAATATTTAAACATATTCCCCTTTTAGAATAAAATTTATTATACAACTTTATACAAAAAAAAAAAAAAAAAAAAAACTTGTGGAAGTAATTGTAGCTTTTTAAAAATTAATGTTTTTACTTGAGTCCAGAAAATTTAGCAGAGAATGTAATGGTTGCTGTGTAAATTTCAATCTTGTGGCTTTGAACCTCAACTGTTGCACCAACTGATGGGTGATACTGGGAAAAAAAAAATCAAAATTTAAGGTAGAAATAAAAGAATTCAATAATAGTTAATAATCTTGCATTAATTTTAATTTGTAAAAATGTGTATTTAACTTTTTGTTTCGCTTGGTATATTTATCCTTTTGATGCTAATGCTCATAAAGAGCTCTGGCCTGCTGCTTATTTCCCTCAAATTTAGATTTCTCCTAGACTTAATTTCCAAGCCTGAATATTAAGGTGTTATGGTTCTCTTTTGTCTCTTTTCTTTGTCCAAACCACTATCAAATAATTGTATCCATTTCAAACCATTTTTCATACAAATCTTATCCATCCACCCATCCCAGTATCTTTACAGCAATGGAAGGCTCTGGCCTGCTTCAACCCCTCCTTTTTTCTAATTCAGGGCTCTACTGAGCTTTCACCCCCATGCCCAAAAACTAAGTTGTCATAGATCTGCCTATTGTCACGAGTTGAGACTGTGACCTATTTCGACCAGTTTCTAGAAGCTCAGGTCAAGTCAGTGCTGACCAGAGTAAACAAGTTAATTTTAGCCATCCAATCAGAGAAAGAGGTTAAGTGAAAAAAATAACATATGTCAACTTCTAGAAGGTCACAGTTAATAAAATAATTAGGGGAGAAGTTTCTATGATTCTGGAAAGTACCATTGAGAAAAGTATAAATTAGGGGAAAGGAGTTAGTAGGGGTTCTCGCATTGTAACAGGCTTTGCTTAGTAACGGTCTTGTGTTAGTATGAGTTTAAATATTTGCGGGTCCATTAGTTGAAGTTGTTGTATCTTTAAGTTTTTATTTTATGAAGATGTTTAAATCAAGTTGTTATTGAATTTGAGAAGTTACTTATATTTGTAATTTGAAGAAGTTAAATAGAACACAGATGTTTCTTTGGTGTATTATCAAATTATTAATATAATCTCCGGTGTGTGATGATTCTGTTTAATTAACAATTAATATAAGAAGCATTATCAAGAAATAAAGAAACAGAAATCGTCACATATATGGCACCTTTGATAAATAAAGGCACAGAAGAATAAAAGCATCACACTGACAACTTCAAAGAATTAAGTCGTCTCATGTATGGCCCCTCCTTAAGAAAAAAGGCTATGTATTTATGACATTTACGAGGAATTGAAAGCATCACATTTTAACAATTTCAAATAATTATTCAAAGCTTCTGACGTATCATTCATGGCCTCTCAACACTTTTATATTGAGGATGCCATTATAGCTTCCTATATGAACTTCAACTATCCCTTAGTCTGTTGGACCATTGGGGCACCACACAAGACTTTTCAACCATTTTTCTCCATTTCTTTCTGTCTTTAGCCTTAGATAGAACTTCTTTCAATGTTTGTCTTTCCATCCCTTTCTCTGCCAGCCTCTTCTTTTTCCTGATACTGTTCCCTTAAGGAAGGTATTTGCAAGCCCCGAAGACCTTGCAATATGGCCATAGAGTTTATTTTGCCCTTTCTTTTTTTCAATAGTTAGCAGGTCATTGTGGGGTCCAATCACTGTAGTAACCTTGTCTCTAAACTCTTTGTCTGTGATGCATTCTTTAAAGCTTCGTGTATAGCTGCCATCAATCTCAGGTAAGTAATTCCTTCAAGAAAGCAGGCATTGATTTTAATTTATACTAGAGTATCTTCCACATATTGAGGGTTGTCTGAGAAAGCTTTATATCTTTGAACTTAGAATTGAAGATAATAACATTTGAATCCTGACAGTGGTAATCAAAATTTTTTAATGCTTTTAAAAGTATTTAAGCAATTAATTAATTTTTAAAATATTCCTTTTTTTTTAAAAAATAATTTCAAAACTTTTTCTTCCTCTTCCTTCTCATTGTTATGTTGGAACATTCAGATGACTAGACCAATATATGAGATGAACTGCGCAGTGGTTTCCAAATCAGCTCTCCAAATAGTTTTCTTTCTATTGGGGTGTTTTGGGGCCTGTGTCTTATACGGGCCTCTTGGTAAAGAGAGCAGTTTTGGAGGACGAGTTCGGCATTTTCTTGTGATACTCCACATGGGCAGATTTCACTGGTTCCAATTTTGAGCTTCGGGTACATATGTTGTCCCATTCTGTTGTGTCAGGTCCTGAGTCGAAAGATTAGAGGTTGGTCTTGTCGGGAAAGCTTAATAAGCGTCATCTTTTATTTTATTTTATTTATTTTGTTTACAATTAATTTCTTCAATTCTTCTGGATAGAGTGCAGAGTTTATTTGTGAGTTAGTTCTCCCACTCTTGGCAAGTGTGTCAGCCTTCTCATTTCCTTCTAGTTGTATATGGGCAGGTATCCATTGAATAACACTTTTTTTGCCATTGTTGTTGAGCTTTGTAAGTGCTGTTCTGAGGTTTTTAATATAAGAGAAAGAGTTTTGCAAGCTTTGGAGGGTTGTTTTCGCATCGGTTAGAAAGACAATCTGACTGTATGGAGAACTTGGATGATTTGCTAGCATGGTAGCAGCTAGTGCTTCCCTTTCTGCTCTGTGACTGTCAGAGAGCTCTCCAGTTGCAATGGATTTTTCTAGTTTTCCTCCATGAGTTTCAAAACTCATTACACCAATTTATTAATGAAGATAAATAAAAATTTAAGAAGTATTTTATTTTATGGTCTTTAAAGAAAAAAGAAAGCTGGTAGAGCTTATTTAGAAAATATTCTTGTGCTAGAAGTACTTACATTAATTTTAAAGAAATGAAAAATTATCTTATCTATTTTTTTATTGCTTTTTTTTTTT